AACAAAAGTTGTTCATCTTCATTTATACAATATTTTGAAAAGAATTCAAAGAACAAAAGAGTCTATAAGCCACTGTTGCACATCACAAACTTACCAAGGCTTATAGGAGATTTGTACATTGATTCAAGGAAAGTTCTCTCAGTTTGAGAGAGGTTGATCTCTTAGTCTAGAGATTGGTATGAAATTGGCAAGGTATTATGAATTGGTATTACAATTTGCAGTGACTTGCAAATTGGTCAGGTTTGGTTTTAATTTTGTACTTGATTCAAAATTATAGTGGAAATCTTAAGCGGGATTTGCTTGGGGACTGGATGTACACCGGATTGATGAAACCAGTATAAAATCTCTTGTTTGTGATTGTGATTTTCTGAGATTGTTGCCATTCTTTATTGCAATTTATTATCTATTTTAAATAAATTTTAAAAGAACACTATTCACGCCCCCTCTAGTGTTCTAGTGTATCTATTTTAGATCCTACAATTCTGAGATATTTACGGGTGCTATTCAAAACTATCCTACTTACGATAAGGAGTTTTATGCGTTCTACCAGGTGATCAAGTATTAGAGGGTGTACTTGTTGGGTAAGGAGGTGGTTGTGCATTCGGATCATAAGCCATTGGAGTTCTTACATGCCCAGACGAAGCTACAGCAGGCACGACACATGAAGTAGATGTCATATTTGATAGCGTTCTACATCATCATTAGGTACAAGAAGGGGGTGACTAACAAGTTTGTCGATATGCTATCTCGACTCCCAGTGAGAGCTTTGTTGGTGGCGACGCGTATTCAGTCCTTGATTCATTTGGAGTATGTGTAGATGTACACATCCAGTAGAGACTTCAGCAATGTGTTTGAGCAATTGAAGGTTGGTCGAAAGGGAGAGTATGAGCTCTGAGCAGATGGTTTGTTGTATCATGGGACATCACTTTGCATTTAGAAGATGCTTCTCAATCTACGACGCCATGTCTTTTAGCCAAAGATGTTAGAAGATGTTACCAAGTATGTTGAACGATGTAAGCTATGTTGTATATCTAAGCCTTCTAACAGAAAGAGGGGATTGTATCTACTGTTACCAGTGCCTTCTAGACCGTAGGAGAGTATTTCTATGGATTTCTTAATAGGGTTGCCAACGATCAAGCGCGGGCATGATTACTTGTTGATTGTAGTGGACCTATTCAGCAAGATGGTGATCTTGATTCCTTACAAGAAGACCATGACGGGAGCGGGTGCAGCGCAGTTGTTCTTTGAACATGTGTGGAAGCACTTTGGTTTGTAGAGTTTGATTATTTTGGATCGGGATATCAGGTTCCTCGGGCACTTTTGGGATTCTTTGTGGAGTTTGATAGACACCAGATTGAAGAAAAGCACGGTCATTCATCCATAAATCAATGAGCAGACAGAAGTAGTCAACCGGGCTATGGTTCACATGTTGCTGGGGTATAATTCTAGGCATCCCAAGACTTGGGATGAGAGATTATCATATCTTTAGTTTGCTTTCAACAGGGCCATTCACGGATCTTCGTGAAAGTCATCGTTTGAGAAGTGTTACAGGTTTTTACCTCCAAGTCTGTTTGATTTAGTATTCTCTAGTGAAGCTATGTCTGATGACAAAGAAGTGAGTAAAAGACAGAAGGCTCAGCGATTTCTGGAGAAGATTACAAGGATTCACGCTATCGTTGAAGCACAATTGAAAAAGTCACAAGCGAAGTACAAGGAGAAACATGATCAACATCGTATTCCTTGTAATTTTGGTAAATGTGACATGGTGTGGCTGAAGTTAGGTAAGGAGCGACTAAAGGGAGAAGGGAAAAAGTTGAAGCCTATACGATATGGTCCATTTTGGATTCTCGATTAGATCGGTGACAACGGCTTCAAACTGGATTTGCCACCTTACTTAGGCATGTATTTGGTAATCAATGCCGAGTAATTGAGGGTGTTCGATCCTTCATTGTTGGACAATGAGGGTGATGACAAAGTGATCTTGCCGCATGTTGAAGATTTATGGTTTGATAAAGAAGAGCCGCTAATAGAGGATTGCATTTTGGAGCGAAAGGAGACTACGACTAGATGGGGAACAAAGGAGTCGTTTCTGGTTGGACGTCAAGGTCAGGCTCCTAACAAAGCCAAGTGGTTCAGCAAAGAAGGAGGAGCTCGAGAGTTTCCTCAGTTGAAGTTCTAACTTGAACAGGACTTTAAGTTCCTAAAGGGGGGAGCCATGATACGGGTGTATCTTCTCTGTTTCGGGAACTTAGCGATCCTCATGGAAGCTTGAGGATAGATGATTCTCATGGTTGCTTGAGAATAGAAGCCTGGGCAGAGTCAGCGAAAATGGTGGAAATCAGGAAAAAGGCGAAAATCAGGAAGCTGGAGAAACAGCTCTGGTCGATCGACTGATGGGCTAGCATCGGTCGACCGATAAAGCACTATCGGTTAATCGATTTGCTATCATCAGTCAACCGATTCAACCGCAAGCGACTACTGGGAGTTTCGGGTCGGTCGACTGATCGAACATGATTGGTTGACCGACAACATGCACACTACAGGGTCTGGAAATCACGTTCTAACCGGTCGACCGATACACTCTTATCGGTCTACCGATGAAGGTCAATTGGTCGACCGATAGAGATACTTTAGTCGACCGATAGCGGTTTCCTTGGCCGAATTGGATTCCTTTTTTGGGCGAATCCTAGTTGGGTTTGTTCTAGATATTTACCACTTTTCCATCCACGTTGTTTAACATATAAATAGAGGTTGTTTAGAGTTTCTAAACATCAGAAAAGAGTTTAGTGAGGATAGAGAAGTTGTTCTTTATTCTAGAGAGATTGTGAGAAAGAGATTTTATTATCTTTTATTCTTCATAATCTAGATAATATATTTTTCTTCGCCAAATTGAATTGTTCGTGTGTTTTTGCTTTTTTTTTCCTCAAAACCCATCTTTGATTATTCCGCGATCAAAGGTGTTCGTACGGCGATTCGTATCATCCACTCAAGTCCATCATCTAACTTGATCGTCAGTGGTACAATGGGGGAACCAATCCCCGCCCTCTCACAACTTTCTACATGTGCAAATTGTTCAGCAACCCCAATTTAAGAACCATATATAAAGTCGAAGAAGAAGGCGATACCTTCATCAATCTCCTCTACCTCATCGAAATTATCCTGTCCTAGATACGTATTGACTGTGTGATCATTGGTACAACAACAACTACATTTTATATGATGTGCTAGAGATAAAATTGTAGATTTTTTATTTGATATAGATTTGAAGATGCAAATGGCTAATATGACAATTATCAGTATTTAATTGAATAAAAACATTACTTTTTGCTGTAAGTGTGCTTGAAATTGTAAAGTTTTCCCCCAAACTTTCATCGACAGCAAAGAAAATGCAAAACAGCAAAATGAGTTCGCAGCAAAGAAAAATGCTTAACTGTAGAATGAGTAGACTTTTAATACTGAAAATTCACCGAAGAAGCTTTTAATATCAAACTGGTTAAGAGAGCTTATAACATAAAATACCAATTTAATAATTTAGCCTTTTATCATCCAAATGAGGTAAATTCATTGCCCACTCTTCATTCACTAGTTAGTGGAGAAAAAGAAATCAATGATGAAAAAAAAATCAGAAATGATTCTTATTAAGTAAAAGAAAAAACAATTAGCTCCTTTTCTTGCTAGAAGGCCCATAAACTCTTCTAAACCAAATTGCATATTCTTCAACAAAAATTAAAAAATATATAAAATAATTAGATTCAAAGGTTTAAAATATTCTATTTTTTAAATATAAAACATTCAGGATTCATTTGATATTTAGTATAATAAAATGCATCATTCTTATGTTCCAATAATTTCATTGTCGCAAATGTATAGGAATACTATATTGTTGTTAGATAAATATAAATGTCAAAAAATATTAAAATTTGAAATCCATCGAACTTTATGGTACCAAAAGTAGGTAGTGTTTTTACATAAAAAGTAGAATAATATAAGATTTTGATGGTTGTGAAGTCGTGACTTGTGAGACCTACAACTTTTGATGTGATAACTAAGATGAATCTTATTATACGTGTATCTCTCAGTAACTTATTTTGTAAAATGATCCGTCATCTGATATCTATTTTTCTATAATAAAATTTTAATGTTTATTATATTGGAAACATCCATGTATTTCAGTCCTAGACACACTGGAAGTGTCATAAAAGAAACAGAAGGTGAAAACGGCAAGGAGCAAGCATTTGGCAATAAATTGACTAGTCTGACCACTTCGATGCTAGCCATACGCCGATCAGTTGGACTGGTCCTCAAACTGCTTTCGGATTGTTTAAGTTTGCGTTCTATAGTATCATGTTGGGTGGAGTTCCTGATTGGTATTGTATCCAGTTTTACCTTGTCAATATAATTCTTCCAAGTCAAGATTAAGGGTGTTAAGCCGAAAAAAGAGTTGCATATTATAAAATAGAAGTATAGAAAAATAAAGGAGAGAAATCTTGGATTTCTGGATTTGTGAGTATTTTTTTAGTGAGATTCAGAGAGAGTTTCTTTCTAGCTCCTTCGATAGCGCAAGAAAAATTTATATAGGTCCGTATGGATCAACTCCAAAGGCTTTGTTGCCCTCCATGCTCCTTCCTTTGAGAACTCGCCTCGGTGCTGCTTGGCTTTCATGCAACTAGAGCAGACACTTTCAACTCCTTCAATGGTTGGGAGGCCATACACCATTTCTCTGCTTTGAAGAGTCTTGAGGCTTTGGAAGTTGAGATGCCTGAGCCTCTTGAGCCATAGCCAGGAGGAGTTCACCTCTTCGACCTTTAGAGCTTGAGTGTTCAAGTAGTGAAGTGAGAGAGGAAAACTTCTGTTGGGTTGCATCTTGACTTTGGCCACCAAGTTGTTAAAACTCTTATCATCATAGATCTTCACTACTTGATCACCAAAAACTAAAAAATAACCGTTAAGGAGCATTTGACCTACACTTAACAGATTTTCCTCTAGACCCGGTACAAGCATTACATCATTGATGTATCTTTTTTTTCTTTCTTTGTATTTAAAGCCAAGATACCCTTTCCTTCAAATTTTATAATATTCCCATTTCCCATCTTAACACTACCAAGATAGGATGTGTCTAAGTCTATCAACAGTGACCGGTTCGCGGTCATGTGGTTACTACTGCCACTGTCAATATACCAAAGACTATCATCACTATCTTTTCCTCCATGACAAGCAAAGAAAATATTACCTTCGTCGTCCTCTTCTTGGTTTGCAAAGACTTGCCGATAGTTTTGATTTTGATTTCCTTGAGTCCTGCACTGCTCTTTGGTATGCCCAAATCTGGAGCGGTTGGTGCACTTAGGCTTCCCCTCGAACCAACACTTCCCTTGATGAGACTTGCCGCAAGTTCTACATGTGGATTTGCTACATTGTTGGGAGTTGCCACTTTGTTGTTGTTGTTGAGGCTTTGGAGCAAAATTGGGCTTGCCTCCTTTCTTCTTCTTCTTTTGCTTCTGGCTCTGTTGTTGATTTGAGCTCATGTTGAAGCATTGGAAGGCTCTCTCCATGGTAGAAGCTTCATTCCTCTTCTCAAGCTTTTGGTCAAACGCCTTGATGGATGCGATTGCATCTTGTAATGAAAGCTTCTCCATATCTTTTGTTTCTTCTATCACACTTACACTGGGGTCATATCTACTAGAGAGAGAAATAATAATTTTTTAAACTACTCTTTGATTTGTTACATCTTCACCATATGTTTTTAATTGATTTATAACATTGGTGAATCTAGTAAGAAAAAATCATCGAGTCTTTCTTCTACTCTCATAGAGATTTGCTCAAACTCTTTTCTAATAGTTTGAAGCTTAACCGCCCGTACCTTTTCACTTCCACGGTACTCTTCTTGGAGAATGTCCCATGCCGCCTTTGCTGTCTCCTCGTTGGAGATCTAGGGGAAGATGGAGTCGGAGATGGCATTTTGGATCAACCCGAGGGCTTTGTCATTCCTCATGTAGTTGAACTTTAATGTCTTCTGCTCCGCCGGTGTGAGAGAGTCTTCGTCTTCTGGGACCTCGAAACATTTCTCCACCAGCTTCCAAAGGTCATGCGCTCTGAATATCGTCCTCATCTTGATCTGCCAAAAGTCGTAGTTCTTCCTGGAGAAGATCGGTGTTCGTATCTCGCCGGAGGTAGGTTTTGGGTCGGACTCAATGACTATTGGGTCAGCCACTTGAACCCGAGATGAAGTTGGAGAATCGACGGTTTTATCGGTCATTTTGAGGAGGCTATTTGGAAGAGTTTTGGTAGTGGGTTTTGGTGTTTTTGTAGAGGTAGGGTTTCTTTACACTCGGTTGTCGTAACGAAGCTCTGATACCATGTTGTAATTTTGAACTGAGTAGTGAAGAAAACTTTGGCTAAGGCTAGTATGATAGAGAATTAGAGAGAGAGAGGTGTAGAAGAAGATAAAGAATTTGGTGCTTTTGTTTTCTTTTTTTTATTCATATCAAATTCTCCCACTCATGGGTTTATATAGACTTATACATGATCCTTCATACTCTATACATTTACTTTCATAGAATACAAAGAGTCAACTCTTAGAATACCACCCTACTTATTATACTTTGACTCTTAAGATTCCCTTCCACTTAGGATATCACACTATGACTCTTAGGTTGTTTAGGTTGCTAAACACTGATTAGTTCAACAATATCTGAATCCAGCAACTTATAATATGACAAGCAAACAGCAAAGAAAACCGCTACAATTAGGGAACACAAGATATGATTATTTTAACGATACAAGATAAAGATAAAGCAGAGATCCTACGCTTCTTGCACATACGACGGTATATATATCTTATCGTAAATCATCAACGATTACTCGATTTCCTCATACCTCGGCTTCAATTCTTATTTCCCTTGTTCTCCTTCCTCCTAATCTTCCTTCTGAGCTCCTCTACAATCCTCTGCGCCGTACAGTAAGCAATAGCCTGCACCGTCACCATCGGATTCACTCCAAGAGCCGTTGGAAACACGCTTGCATCTGCCACGTACAACCCCTCCACCTCCCACGTCTCCCCGCTCTGGCTCACCGCAGACGTCGCTGGACTCACCCCCATTCTACAGCTCCCCATCTGATGCGCCGAGCATATCGGCGTCGAAAAATCCCTAAGCCCTCTATCGCCCACCTTCTTCACGAACTTCTCGAACTCATGCGAGCTTGCTCTCTTCACATCAAGCCTATCCCCTTTGCAATGGTGAGTCCCTATCTCCGTCGCCCCTTCGCCCCTGCCGCCGTCACTATCCTCAGCATTTTCTCAATCCCCCTTTTCAAATTCTCTTCGTCGAACCCGTTCATTTTGTAGGTTATCGACCCTGAGGAGTCGATACTGCCGCAGGATTTGTCTCTGGCTAGCGCGAAAATGTGCGCAGTGTTTGCAAACTTTGTCATCCGATTCTTGAAATCAAGACTGGACGTCCATGGCGTCAATGCGGAGAACATTCCCGGATGTAGATGCGGCGTTTGGATGATAGCACCGTAGCCGCTTGCAGCGGATTTGTAGACGACAGGCGACATGGCCGTCATTATTCCTCCCTCGTAGCTGTTCTTGTTCTCGGTAGGAAAATGGCCCCATACCATAACCACAGGATGCAGGTGCAAATTCTTCCCTATGTTTGGGTTTTTAAGCCCGCTGTTTTTGAGAAGCACAGGCGTCCTGAGTGCACCGCAAGCGACGACAGTGACTTTCGATTCAACGATGCAGGTTTCTTTCTTGCCTGACCATCCGTTTTCATACTCGAACGCGACTCCCGTAGCAACATTTCGCTTCCGTTTCATGTCGGAGTACAAGATTTTGGTGGCCGTGCAACCGGGCAGTACAACACCGTTGTTCTTGACAGGATAGCCCAATTCTTGACATCCTCGACGCAACACCGAATTGTTGAGGTTGTCCTCGTCCACCTCGTTCTGAACCCCCATCCTCTCGCACACGCAGTCGAGCGCTTGCGCATAGGCATCGCTGCCGAATAATTCAACGCCACACTCGTTCCGCCACTCGGATATCACGTGGTCTGGCGTGCGGATCGACGCGGCCCAGTTGATCGCGGATCCACCGCCGACGGTGGAGGCGGTCAGGATTACGACGCCGGTGTCGTCGGAGGCGAGAAGGCCGTTGTATTCGTACATTGTTGAGGGCGCGTCGGCTTCGCAAGAAGAGTGAGAGCCTGTTGCGACGGCGTTTGCTAGCGCCCTTTTTCGAGGACTTTGTAGCCTGCCTGCGCGAGGACGCCAGCAACGACTCCGCCTCCGGAGCCAGAGCCAACGATGACGGCATCACATTTGATGGTTAAGGTGGGCTTTTCGTGGGCCTTTTTGGGGTGGGGTGGGGTTGTTAAGGAGAGGCCCGCCTGAGAGAGGGCTGAGGAGAGAGCGTCCCTTGAGGATTGCATGTAGACTAGGGCTCGTTGAAGGGGTCCCGTTGTTGATGGTGGTTGGTTGTCTGGGGTGGACTTGAGGTGGTCAGAGTAGCTCGGGTCGGGTCCGCAGTAGCCTATTGCTTTCCACGTTGGGTTCTCATTCTTTTCATTTACCTGCGAATGTCGGCAAACAGCGGTGACAAGGTTACCCGGAGTTTCATGTCAAAGTGAAGCCAGGCTGTTTTTTTAACTCCGTATCCAGGGTAAAATGATAACAGTAGTAATAATAGCTTCACAAGCATAAGGCGAGAGATTAGATATATACTAAAGACCTAAATGTTGCTGATTTAAATATTGTGGTAAGATTTTTATGAATGGATGTGACGATGTCGCTATATTACATCTTACATATATTTTTTAAGTTGAAATATAATAAATTTCAAATTTGTCAAGGGCGTGTAATACCATGTGGTAAACCTTTTCTATTCATAATGATATGTAAACAGTTAAAAAGCAATGCAAACAGTTTTAAAAGATCAATTAAGTCAAATTAACAAAACATTGAACCAGTCCAAATACCGCACAAAATCAGTACAAACATGGGTATAAAATCACGATGAAGCGTCAACTCTTTTTCTTTATGTAGGTAGAGAACCCTCTATGAATTTTTCCCCCCTTTTTTCTTAGTCGTTTGGAAATTAATTAGATGGAGGGGAAATGGATAGAAATTAGATTTTAAGAAACCATCAAATCCTACCGAGCGCGGTTCCGCTTGGTTTATGTCTAATCACCAAAAAAATAAAAAAAAAAACTTAACAAAACACATTTCTTGGAGTGATTTTCATTGTTCTCTTTTGGATGAGGGCATTCATTAAAATATTAATTTACTTAAAGTGTCAAATTAATTTAAAAAGTAGAAAATTCATTTCCTAGCTATTTTGTAGAAAATGTATTGAAAACCCTATATACTGGCGTAATTCTATTCTTTTCTTTCTTTCTTTCTTTCTTTTTTTCGGAATTAGGTATTTATTTTATTTTTGGTTAAATTTGATTTCCACAAGCAAACATCCCCTAGAGCTACATATATATCTTAGGACCAAAGTGAGTACTCATGAAAGGTCCCAGTCCTTCCCCGTGAAAGGTGCCCAAAGATAATCATAAAGTCTAGAATCGTCCACAAAGGCTCTTGTCAAACTAATTTGGAACGCTATTAAAAATGCCCAGCTGAGCGTTGCCCTTTCAATTTCTTAGTCGTTGCGCATTCATTTGCCAGAAATTGAATTTACTAATTAAGGGTCGCGTCACATAAGCTTTTTTCGTGCTTAAACCTGAGCTTTTCAAATTTCTACGGATCAACCCTTTCTGCTAGTCCTTTTCAACTGTATATGGTTTAGACATGATGAAAGGGTCCTCAATGCAGCAAGCAATTACATTTAGACTTAGCATTAATGTAAGTTTCCTTGTAATATTTGTTGTGCACAGCGGAAATTTCGGCAGAGTTTCTGGTGCACGACAAGAGAGAAAGATCGCAATAAGAATACCCGTCTCACCAAGGAAACAAGAATCTGAAGCGAATATCTCAACAAAGTGAGATATCGGCTCTTCCTCTCATCAGTTCTAGGACTGACTTGTCGAGGGATCCTAAAAACTATTACAATGACCACAAACACAAACAAACAAATTTTACGTGGTTCGGCAATTGCTTACGTCCACGGGGATAGGATGAGGAGATTCCACTAAATCAAGGAGAGTACAAAGGGTTACAATCTCACAAAACTCACAAACTAACCCTCAACCAAAGGTCTCAACTTGCTCATAATATCTCCCTCTCTTAATGCTCAAAAGTCTCTCTAACCTCTGATTACAACTCTCCTCACTTTTTTATGATTGATTCTAATCTCCATATATATAGAAAAACTAAAACCAAAACATATTAGGAATCCTAAAACCAAAAACAAAACAAATTAGGAATCCTAATAAACTCTAGGAATTCAAATAACCTCATGTTACCAAAATAGATTAGGAATACTAATAATCTCATGTTATCAAAATAGATTAGGAATCCTCCTATCCAACAATATTTGTCTTCTTCACAAAAATATATATATATTTAGATCATGCACCAGGAATTGCAAGGCAAGAACAAAATTGAGCAGGGTCTGTGTCTAATTAGCAGTAGAAATATTTGTAGTTCGCGATGGACTTCTACAACCCCTCTCCAACTGTTTTTTTAATCGTCTCAACAAAGTAAGAGATTTTTTGGGTAGAAACCTTGAACATTTCGCAAGGATATGATTCACAATTTTATCTACCCTTAGAGATTATAACAATATTGACAACAATTTATCCACTAGTGTTATCAAATCCATTACTTAGCAAAGGTATTAGCTACCTTTCCCGATATAGCTTTAACAAGTTTTGTTTTCTAGCTATGCGCCAATAGGATTACAAGGTGGGGAAAAAAATTAAATATTCATATAACATGGTATGAAAATTAAGGAATGTGATTCAAAATATTATTCTTTCAAAGAGAATGGATCCTATTTTCGTAGCATGGAAGTTTTTAGGAGTAGCAGTGTAGTTATCATTATTCTTTTTTAATACTAAAGATACACATTTTACTAAAATGTTTTTGTTATTAACATTATTTCGGAATTTTCAATTCTACGTACCAAGCAGCTGTAGTTTATTATTAACTCAACCACTAGCATGTTTATATTTAAGAAATATGACATGTGGCAGCTCTAGTTTAAATGTCAGGGTCCTTCCCATCGAACAATCTGACAAGAGCGTTACATACAGTCTAACTAATAAACCAACAAAATCAGTAGGAGAAGGATCCACTAACAACTATAACACCCGTACCAATTAATGCTTCAGACTTTATTACCTATTAAAAATTGAATTTTTACAACAAAAAATTTACTCCTGAAAAATCACATGCATGCATGTCTACCATTTATTCACACCCCGAACAAGTGCGTAGGGATTTTATATAATAACCCAACAAACATTCTTATGAATTACTGACAAGAGTCAATACAAGTTAATCTAATTCGTTGAAAATGCTGACGTGGCCTTCTACTCTATTTTTTTTTTTTTTTTTTTACATTTACATTTCAATTATATATGTGTTCTATAGGACCATAAATTGGAGCTTGACAAAGAAGCACGCACGGACGAATAGTAAATGAAATTTCAGCAGTATTTAAAACATTTGGATATGCATCTTTTCGAGTCTTTTCTACGAAAGGACAAAGGTGAGTATACTGGATTGGCTATTAAAAAGTAAAAATATAATATTTTCTTGCAAATTAGTTAATTACCTGGGTGAAATAGAAGACGAGGACCATTTGTTTGAGGCCTCGAAAGAGCATTCTATAGAACGAAAGCCAGTGCGTCGCCCACGATACTAGGATCTCCTCCCGACGTTGGGGATCAATTTCGGAGAGTTTGAGAAAGAAGGGGGGTTTCCAAGATAAACTCTTTGTCCCGCAGAAGATAAATGTCCCATACCATGTAGATAATAACCATAGAGCTATGCGAAGTAGTCCTCGCATCGCGTGTCGCATCCTCACGGCTATGTACTCTCCCACCTAGTTATCAGAAGGTAATACAACGATACAGTCAAGCAATGTTCATAAATTTTTTGGGGGGGTTGGGTGGAACTCTTTGTCCCGCAGAAGATAAATGTCCCATACCATGTAGATAATAACCATAGAGCTATGCGAAGTAGTCCTCGCATCGCGTGTCGCATCCTCACGGCTATGTACTCTCCCACCTAGTTATCAGAAGGTAATACAACGATACAGTCAAGCAATGTTCATAAATTTTTTGGGGGGGTTGGGTGGCCGCAGTAGCCTATTGCTTTCCACGTTGGGTTCTCATTCTTTTCATTTACCTGCGAATGTCGGCAAACAGCGGTGACAAGGTTACCCGGAGTTTCATGTCAAAGTGAAGCCAGGCTGTTTTTTTAACTCCGTATCCAGGGTAAAATGATAACAGTAGTAATAATAGCTTCACAAGCATAAGGCGAGAGATTAGATATATACTAAAGACCTAAATGTTGCTGATTTAAATATTGTGGTAAGATTTTTATGAATGGATGTGACGATGTCGCTATATTACATCTTACATATATTTTTTAAGTTGAAATATAATAAATTTCAAATTTGTCAAGGGCGTGTAATACCATGTGGTAAACCTTTTCTATTCATAATGATATGTAAACAGTTAAAAAGCAATGCAAACAGTTTTAAAAGATCAATTAAGTCAAATTAACAAAACATTGAACCAGTCCAAATACCGCACAAAATCAGTACAAACATGGGTATAAAATCACGATGAAGCGTCAACTCTTTTTCTTTATGTAGGTAGAGAACCCTCTATGAATTTTTCCCCCCTTTTTTCTTAGTCGTTTGGAAATTAATTAGATGGAGGGGAAATGGATAGAAATTAGATTTTAAGAAACCATCAAATCCTACCGAGCGCGGTTCCGCTTGGTTTATGTCTAATCACCAAAAAAATAAAAAAAAAAACTTAACAAAACACATTTCTTGGAGTGATTTTCATTGTTCTCTTTTGGATGAGGGCATTCATTAAAATATTAATTTACTTAAAGTGTCAAATTAATTTAAAAAGTAGAAAATTCATTTCCTAGCTATTTTGTAGAAAATGTATTGAAAACCCTATATACTGGCGTAATTCTATTCTTTTCTTTCTTTCTTTCTTTCTTTTTTTCGGAATTAGGTATTTATTTTATTTTTGGTTAAATTTGATTTCCACAAGCAAACATCCCCTAGAGCTACATATATATCTTAGGACCAAAGTGAGTACTCATGAAAGGTCCCAGTCCTTCCCCGTGAAAGGTGCCCAAAGATAATCATAAAGTCTAGAATCGTCCACAAAGGCTCTTGTCAAACTAATTTGGAACGCTATTAAAAATGCCCAGCTGAGCGTTGCCCTTTCAATTTCTTAGTCGTTGCGCATTCATTTGCCAGAAATTGAATTTACTAATTAAGGGTCGCGTCACATAAGCTTTTTTCGTGCTTAAACCTGAGCTTTTCAAATTTCTACGGATCAACCCTTTCTGCTAGTCCTTTTCAACTGTATATGGTTTAGACATGATGAAAGGGTCCTCAATGCAGCAAGCAATTACATTTAGACTTAGCATTAATGTAAGTTTCCTTGTAATATTTGTTGTGCACAGCGGAAATTTCGGCAGAGTTTCTGGTGCACGACAAGAGAGAAAGATCGCAATAAGAATACCCGTCTCACCAAGGAAACAAGAATCTGAAGCGAATATCTCAACAAAGTGAGATATCGGCTCTTCCTCTCATCAGTTCTAGGACTGACTTGTCGAGGGATCCTAAAAACTATTACAATGACCACAAACACAAACAAACAAATTTTACGTGGTTCGGCAATTGCTTACGTCCACGGGGATAGGATGAGGAGATTCCACTAAATCAAGGAGAGTACAAAGGGTTACAATCTCACAAAACTCACAAACTAACCCTCAACCAAAGGTCTCAACTTGCTCATAATATCTCCCTCTCTTAATGCTCAAAAGTCTCTCTAACCTCTGATTACAACTCTCCTCACTTTTTTATGATTGATTCTAATCTCCATATATATAGAAAAACTAAAACCAAAACATATTAGGAATCCTAAAACCAAAAACAAAACAAATTAGGAATCCTAATAAACTCTAGGAATTCAAATAACCTCATGTTACCAAAATAGATTAGGAATACTAATAATCTCATGTTATCAAAATAGATTAGGAATCCTCCTATCCAACAATATTTGTCTTCTTCACAAAAATATATATATATTTAGATCATGCACCAGGAATTGCAAGGCAAGAACAAAATTGAGCAGGGTCTGTGTCTAATTAGCAGTAGAAATATTTGTAGTTCGCGATGGACTTCTACAACCCCTCTCCAACTGTTTTTTTAATCGTCTCAACAAAGTAAGAGATTTTTTGGGTAGAAACCTTGAACATTTCGCAAGGATATGATTCACAATTTTATCTACCCTTAGAGATTATAACAATATTGACAACAATTTATCCACTAGTGTTATCAAATCCATTACTTAGCAAAGGTATTAGCTACCTTTCCCGATATAGCTTTAACAAGTTTTGTTTTCTAGCTATGCGCCAATAGGATTACAAGGTGGGGAAAAAAATTAAATATTCATATAACATGGTATGAAAATTAAGGAATGTGATTCAAAATATTATTCTTTCAAAGAGAATGGATCCTATTTTCGTAGCATGGAAGTTTTTAGGAGTAGCAGTGTAGTTATCATTATTCTTTTTTAATACTAAAGATACACATTTTACTAAAATGTTTTTGTTATTAACATTATTTCGGAATTTTCAATTCTACGTACCAAGCAGCTGTAGTTTATTATTAACTCAACCACTAGCATGTTTATATTTAAGAAATATGACATGTGGCAGCTCTAGTTTAAATGTCAGGGTCCTTCCCATCGAACAATCTGACAAGAGCGTTACATACAGTCTAACTAATAAACCAACAAAATCAGTAGGAGAAGGATCCACTAACAACTATAACACCCGTACCAATTAATGCTTCAGACTTTATTACCTATTAAAAATTGAATTTTTACAACAAAAAATTTACTCCTGAAAAATCACATGCATGCATGTCTACCATTTATTCACACCCCGAACAAGTGCGTAGGGATTTTATATAATAACCCAACAAACATTCTTATGAATTACTGACAAGAGTCAATACAAGTTAATCTAATTCGTTGAAAATGCTGACGTGGCCTTCTACTCTATTTTTTTTTTTTTTTTTTTACATTTACATTTCAATTATATATGTGTTCTATAGGACCATAAATTGGAGCTTGACAAAGAAGCACGCACGGACGAATAGTAAATGAAATTTCAGCAGTATTTAAAACATTTGGATATGCATCTTTTCGAGTCTTTTCTACGAAAGGACAAAGGTGAGTATACTGGATTGGCTATTAAAAAGTAAAAATATAATATTTTCTTGCAAATTAGTTAATTACCTGGGTGAAATAGAAGACGAGGACCATTTGTTTGAGGCCTCGAAAGAGCATTCTATAGAACGAAAGCCAGTGCGTCGCCCACGATACTAGGATCTCCTCCCGACGTTGGGGATCAATTTCGGAGAGTTTGAGAAAGAAGGGGGGTTTCCAAGATAAACTCTTTGTCCCGCAGAAGATAAATGTCCCATACCATGTAGATAATAACCATAGAGCTATGCGAAGTAGTCCTCGCATCGCGTGTCGCATCCTCACGGCTATGTACTCTCCCACCTAGTTATCAGAAGGTAATACAACGATACAGTCAAGCAATGTTCATAAATTTTTTGGGGGGGTTTATTTGAATTAATTACTCCTCTTATCACAGGCTAATAATTAGTTAATTTATTTCATGCGTGTATTATGTTTGTTTAGATGTAGAGACTAAATGGGGGGAATACAAATGTGATATTCTATGCTATTAGCTGATATGCTGGTGACGCGCAGCCCATCTAGACTATAGATTAAAATTACCAACATATATATAATTAAAGATCATAGGAGTCCATGTAAACTTTCCTTAGCAAACTAGGTGCACAGTCAAAAGGTGTGACCGCAAATATTTTGGAATCCCATCTCACTCTCTAATTATACATGTGTATGTTCGGATGGAATTACAGGAGGACTATGTCCGTCCATGATGCTACCTGACGCAGATCAAAATGCTAAGCTATGATCTATATATATTGATGATATTGAGTTTTCACATCAACGACGCACCATCCAATATCTTGGAGAGATATGATTACGATCCTTTACTATCTTTATGTACACGTAAAATATTTATTTTGTTAAACGCAAGTGCTACTTACAACTTCGGGTGTTCCGAGCATAGAGGCTGAGGTTTGGTAGAACGTGGTGGTGGATTCTTTAGTATCCCCTCCAGGAAAGTTTATAGAAGGTAGGAGCGTGTCGGCAAAAGCTGTCAGTGAGTCCATCTCTCGTCGAGTCAACCCCGTTAGTACTCGCGGCTTAACTCCAATCGCATCAAATGCTGCCTCAAGATCAATCGGAGACCCTAACAACGCCTTCTCTGCGACCATTGGAGATTTTGATCCGTCCATAGTTCTCTCTCTTTAACTTTGCGTTTTGTGTGTATAAGCGGGAGAGAGAATGTGTGGCGTATAAGTAGCTAGTGTTTGTGGCGCATTTGCGTATTATATATAGTCGTATTAAGGTGGTAGGAGATGACCACAATTAATAGCTTCTAACGCTACATCTAGCTAACTCTTACCAGTCTTCATTTATTTTGCTTGCTCTCTCTCTCTCTACAACTTACACTAGTTCTACGTATGATAAACGCCAACTAAGAAAGTCATTGGTTGGTTGAAAGGTTATTAATAAATTCACTAGAGAGTGAAGATAATGGCTTGGACTTGATTGAAACATAGTGATGATGTAGATAGCTAATTAGGAGAAACCTAAAATGAACATGTATGGAAAGGACTAAGGCAATCTTACGCAGGGCCGTATCTGAGATTTTAGGGGCCCTGTGCGAAAAGTAAACACAGGGCCTTTCTCAATATACAAAATATCAATAAATCCCAATTCGAATCCCTAAAATGCTAGGGAACAAAATATTACTGATCAGACATTAAAATGTTACCTGAATTTTTTGCATCTGCATAATCTTTAACATACTTTTCAAGTGCTATTGCTCATTCTTCATCTCTTCGGTCACCTGAATAAAATGTTACTGGTCAGATAAATGCATGTAATCCCACCTTAATAAAGCTTTCCAATAGAGCAAATAGTCCACAATAAGAAATACTTGCATATTATGTTCCTCTTGTATCTGTGCTTACCTTCATAAGAGATATCGAAGCCTTTAGCATAAAAAAGTATCATCGAAAAATTGTCCTCCTTGCATTTTTAGCTGCAAATGAAGCCTTTAGCATAAAAAAGTATCATCGAAAAATTGTCCTCCTTGCATTTTTAGCTGCAAAATCACTATTAAGCCCTTAACATCAATTTTATCTATAAAATCATTTTCAATAGATATCAAAACTAGTCCATTTAGTCTTTCTTGTGACATGGTCGATCTCAGATAAGATTTTAATAATTTTAATTTTGAAAAACTTCTTTCTGCAGATGCGACTGTAACAGGTATAGTCAATAATATTCTATAAGCAATACATGTATTTGGAAAATAATTTCGTATTTGTAAGAAATTCAGTATATCAATAGCCATCTTTGTCTCTTTTGGTAAAATATTTCGTAAGATTTTTAGTTCTCCAAATAAATCTTTCCCATCAAGATCAGAAAATGTTTTATATTTTAGAACAATTTCAAGATTATCACAACATGCTTTCAAATTATTATCATCTAATGAATTTAACTTTTCTGAACCAAACAAAAATCCAAAAATATCTTCATATGCTTTATATTGCTCAAACCTTTTCTTTAGTGAACAAATAGCTTGATCTATAATATACAAAAAATAATTGATTCTAAAAGATTCTTCAGTTGATTGTGTTGTCTCCTCATTAACATTCTCATCAAATTGTCTTTTTCTACGGATTTGACGTTTTACTTGAAATACAGAATCAATTTCCATTTCAGTAGCAATTTCTTTAGCAATTGTCATAGCTTGTGTGAGCCCAACTTCTCTATACTCCTCAAAAAACCTAATCAATCCTTTTACTTGATCTATAGAAATATCAATAAGCATGTCTTTAGATTGTAAATATTTGCTAATTAAGTTAACAGCAAACAATATATCATACCAAATAAGCATACTTAATAAAAATTTAAAATTTCTAATTCCATGGGTTGCTAAAGAATCTGCTTCACTCCTTATTTTGGAGTCATTATCAGTTTCTGCTAACCGAAGTAGTGCTTCTCTTATTTCAAGCGTTTGGAATCTAATTGCTTTAAAGCTTTCAATATGGCTTTCCTAACGTGTAGCCGACAATAACTTCACAGTTAAACCTTTTACATTATTTATCAAAATTTGCCATCGCTTTGTTGAGTGAGAAAATAATGTATAAATGCGTTGTATCACTCCAAAAAAGTCTTTTGCTTTACCACAACAATTTGTCATATCACAAAGTGTTAAATTAAGTCTATGACAACCACAAGGCGTGTATAATGTTCTAGGATTTATATCAAGTACTTTTTTTTGTACACCTTGGTGTCTCCCTTTCATATTAGAACCATTATCATACCCTTAACCTCGTACATTATCAATATCAAGATTAAGAGTTTTTAGCACATTTTGCAATTCTTCAAAAAGTCATTGTCCAGATGTATCATTTACTTTTAAAAATTCTACAAATTTTTTTTCTATTTTTATCGGGCTTGTAGAAATATCAACACATCATAATATTAAAGTCATGTGTTCTTGGTGACTTGCGTCTGGAGTACAATCAAGTATTACTAAAAAATATTTAGCTTCTTTAATTTTTTGAACTATTGCACATTTGATTTTAGAAGCTAACATACTTATCAATTCATTTTGAATTGTAGGCTGTCTAAAAATCACAATAGATAGTTGATCCCCCATCAAACACCGACGACGGAAGTTACAATCTGACGACTTCCATAAGGCTATAATTTGAGGACTTTCACGTAGATCGCTGAAGGTTACAATCTGACGACCTTCACGATAACTGATGAAAGCTCTAATTCAACAGCCTTCACAATCAACATCGGGAGTTACAATCTGATGACTCTCATATTTTTAAGGAGCCAAGACGAAGGTTACAAGGTGACGATCTTTGCAACGCTCTAGCAAAAGAGACTACAAATTGACGGTCTCTTCATATTAAAACGCATATATATCTCAAACCGTAAGGAATTTGGCGAAACGGAGGAAGTGAACCAAAGCCTTTGGCTCGGTTCGGATGGCTCCGTCTCGTCGAGATAGCTGATTTTTATATATAATTCGTCCAATTCTGACTTACGGTTTGAAAGTTATGACCTGTTCTTCGCAGCAAGTTATGTTCTGAAGTCCGTCTGCGAGACCGGACTTCGTCAGAACATTGGACTTAGCCTGAAGCTCGCCAAGCCCGCCTAAGGTTCGCCTCTGCATTACAGAGTCAAAACGCACAGGTCGAACCAGCGTTATAACCTCAAAACGCAGAGGTTATCCTCGTTATATAACATCAAAACACAGAGTTACGGCCCAACTGTGCGTTTTCAGTCTAAAACAAGCCCAACTCTGCGTTTTCAGCCTAAAACGCAGAGTTCATCTCTAAAACAGCACGACCTGTGCGTTCTCAGCCTAAAACAGGCCCAACTCTGCGTTTTCAGCCTAAAACACAGAGTTCATCTCTAAAACAGCACGACCTGTGCGTTCTCAGCGTAAAATAGGTCCAACTCTGCGTTTTCAGCCTAAAACGCAGAGTTCATCTCTAAAACAGCACGACCAGTGCGTTTCAACTCCCAGCGAGCGCCCAACTCTACGTCTCATCTCCACGACGCAGAGTTAAGGTCCGAAACGCAAGCGGCCTGTGCGTTCCAACTCCCAGTGAGCGCTCAACTTTGCGTCTCATCTCTAAGACGCAGAGTTAAGGTCCAGAACGCCAATTTAGGCGTTTGACTCATTCAAACACGAACTAAACAGTTCCAGGAACTGTTTTTCCCCACGATTTGAGGGATTTTCGCCCCACTTAAGAGCAAATTAAGGGGGCAGTTACACCCCCTTAATCCTCTATAAATACAAGAAACTCAATTGAGTTAAGGGATGTGATTTTCTCTCATCAACAAAGGGAAATAAAGTCAAGGGCTGGATTTTTGGACCTGAGGATTGGCAGCAAAGAAGAGCATTCGTTCTTCGACTGGAGCTTTAGAGGTCGACAACAGGAGCTTCTTTATCCTTGGCTTATTAACCGAACTTTCGGTTTAAATCAACTCTTTCATAGAGATAAACTCGATCTGAGTTATCAACTCATCCAGAGTTTCCAACTTGCTCTGCCAGTTCTTCTAAAACTCGCTCTGAGTTATTAACTCGTTAAGAGTTATTTTTAAGATTTGCCACGCAAGTTCTCCACAGCGTCAAATCTTGAGGAGAAGACTACGTTCCAGTGAATCAAGAAGTGTGGATCGTCAACGGAGAGCAAACTCGATAGGAGCATTCGAGGGAGGCACTCCATCACCACTGTGAAGAACCCAGTTTTAAAAAAATGGGAGAATCAAATTCATTCTCCTCTCTTTTGTAATCGGAATCCAAATTGTAATTGATTTTGAGAGGAATACAAGTTAATTTTTCTTTCTTTGTCTTTTTACTGCAAATTTCAAACGAACAAAAGATGGCAACTCCGCTGGGGATTAGCTTCTCTGACGAAGAAGTAGTGGCGCAATCCGACATTCATCTCACTGGAACGACCGTTGAAACTCTGATTATCGAGTTTGATCAAACCAAGTACGAGGAGGCCCTCTCCTCCGGATCCCTTAGCCCCAAGGCTATGCGCAAGATCCACAAAGTTTCCGAGGAGACTAAAGCTCCAGTTGTAGCCAACTCATCTAAAGACTATCTCCCATGGGGGTTGTACTGTTCATACAGTCCCCTCTCTAAAGGAGAAGACTCAACTTCGGCACAACGCCAAAAAAGCCGATCCTCCAATCAACACGAACTCCGCGTTTGTGAGCCTCAACATGAGCTCTGCATAAGCCAAGCTAAACGCAACCCTCAGGTGTGCGTTTCCCAGATAGAACGCAGTCTTCAGAGGCGCGTTCTAACATCAAAATGCAGACCTCAAAACTGCGTTGATCTGGCTGAACGCAACACTCAAGAGTGCGTCCCAGAACCAAAACGCAACTCTCAGGAGTGCGTTCCAACATTTAAACGCAGACATCAAACCTGCGTTGATCTGGCTGAACGCAACTCTCAAGAGTGCGTTTCACAAACTGAACGTAACTCTTAAGAGTGCGTTTCAGAATCCGAACGCAGATCGCAGGACTGCGTTTCTCTAGCAAAACGCAGACTTTGGTCTTGCGTTAATCAAGCTAAACACGACCCTTGTGTTTCTTCTTTGGAACACGATGTGATTCGTCGTGTTCAAAATGATCAACATGGATTTAAAATTCATGTTTGGCAAGAACCAGTCCCATCCTTTAATGGACAGGGGGTTCCATCTTTACCCTCACGCTCTGTGAGAGGTTCATCCCAAGACTCTGACTTGCGGGAATGGCTGT